ATATATTACATTTTATTCGTAACGTTTGTTCGATATTTATAATGGAGCATACGGTCTATAGATGTGAGTTATACAGCACACGATGATACACAGAAGTCCGGTTATAGGGTTAAGTTAGGGGTCGAAAACAAGTCTGTGGCCCAGCTGTTTTATTGTCGCGCAACGCGAATTTCATGCGTTTTTTGTGGGGCACGGATTCAAACAGGTCCGACATTGGTTTATTGCATGAAGTAAGTTACATGTCCGCCGTGGGTGGTTTTAAGGAATTACTCGAACTAAAGGCGGTATAGTAAATGACGCATTCAAGGCTACCTGTAGGAACTTACCCAGCAAGCGTGACTGATTGTACTACACCGTTGAATACACTGCTAATAAATTAGGCTAAAGACTTTGGCTACTTTATTAATTAATTAAGCAGAGTCCTAGATTTGTATTGTTCAGGTTTCTTAATTATTTTCATGTCTTTATTAAACAAAAGTATAAAAGCATACCTCGAACGATGATTGTTTTCGTTGTTTGTATAACTAGATTCACAATTCTGCGGGCAATAATCAGTTATATCCGCCCCAATTATCTATGGCCGTTGATGTAAACCGAACAATTCCCCATTAATTAGTGATTTTCTCGTGATACATAAATTATTAATTACTTATTTGTACATGAAGTATCGGATCACCTGATTTATCGTGCGATGACTCAGCGGGCCGTGTATGTCTCTGTCTCTGCAGGGTCCTCAGTTCCGTCGACAGTGACACCGCAGCTAGTTTGTTCTGACTTCAGTGACTCAGGGTTTCGTTTGGTGACAATGGATTCGAAGAAGGAGCAGGCCAATTAAGGCAGGTGGTGCACCAAACAGGGCATCAAGGTGAAGTGCGACGACAGAAGCCGTGGGAGATAACGAAATACTGCGAAGAGAAAATACAAATGAATAATTTATCCGCTATCAATGTCGTCTCTCTCTTTTTTCTGTCATCTATCTTCTCTCGCTCTCATCTCTCTCTCTCTCTCTCTCTCTCTTCCTCTGTCTCGTTTTTCTCTCTTCCACTTTCTCGCTCTCTGTGTGTGTCTCTCTTGGTCTCTCTCTCCCTCTATCTTTCTATTCCCAGTAGTTCTATCTTCTGTTTTATCTTCCCCCTTGTTTCACAGCTGTATGGCGGTGTGGACAGCTCCTATCTATCATAGAGTGATATATATTGGTGACGTACCCTCATCATTACATATTAATTACGAGTAAATAAAGTATGGACGCTCCAAATGGTGCCATCGCACATCCTTATTACAGCTGATATCTCATTATAATCAGTAACGGTCAATATTAAATGTTTAAATATTAGGTCAATCTTATTTATCTATCCATATAAATAACCTCATAACTTCTCCCTGGAACAATTCATTTCAGTGGTTATTAGTCTAAGATTTAGGTTATTTACCTATTATACATACATACATATGCACGCACACACACACGCACACGCGCACGCACACGCACACGCACACGCACACGCACACACACACACACACACACGTCAAACGTGATTAAAAACAAATGAAAACGAACAACCGAAATGTTTAGCACACTCTATATTCGTGTTTTGTGCATGTCCGTCTCTCCTTCTTCAGGTGAAGAGTTGGAAGAAGCGATACTTTGTGTTGAACAAGCAAGCCGTCTGCTACTACAAAGCTCCCGAGGTGAGTGCAGAGGTGGTGGTGGCGATGATGGTGATGAGTGGAGCAGCTGTTATCTGTGTCATCGGGTTACGAATCGCCTCCTTCCGTGCACGGTGGCTGTGGGTACCACTATACATGCACTAGCTGCTGGTGCACATGTCTAATCTCCGAGCAAATAACAGTGGGCACCATTAGCTGGAGGCGGGGAGTACAATAGCCATAGGTTAGGTGACTTAGGTGACGCCTGGTGTTACACGAGCGAAAATAAGGCACTGATGAATGCTGGTGCTTACACGGGTAATTGTGTTTAGATACGTAGTGTAGTGGGTAGCAGCATGCGCCACAGCGATCTTTGTCCTAAATAGAAATCTTAAAGTCGCGAGTGGGAGCACAAGTTTGGAACGAGGCCATCTCCCAACTGCTATGAGTTTAACAGAGCAATTTTTTTATTTAATTGTGTTGTCAAGAAAATACTGTCAACTTTATTCATAATGAGTTCATAATGACATAGTGCTTTGTATTGGTACGACATACAAACGTTTTTATTTTTAAACTGGGTTGTTTATTTATATCAAATATCTTGTACATGGTATCTAAAAAAAAGTGTTATCCATTTCTCACCCGACTGATCGATATTAGAACAGTCATAGGCTGTATTATATATTTTGATAATTATCCAAAATATATTTATGCACTGGGTTTCTGATGTGCAAAGATCTACAAAAAAAGAGTTTGGGAGCATTTTACCAGCACAACCTGTCTCATTCTGTGTTATCGCTGTCATTTGTCTGTCATTCACATTGCTCTTGCCAGTTCTTTCCAACAATGGAAGATCTGTGAGCCATTGCCTGTACTCAGTCATGCAATAGAAAGCCATTGTTCAATAGCATTGTACCTAAGAAAACCTGGAGATTTAGTCATGCAAATGGGGCATCTTCTTATTGTTCGAGACTGGGCTATCAAGCATAAGATCTAACATGGGTAATTTAAGTATTCGGTTAGCCAGCTTTACTTGGCAGTCACTAGCCAATAATTCTTAACTTAATAATTCACACTGTTAATAATTCACATTTTAATTATCAGCGATTGACTTCTTATTTGATTGTGGGTAATTCTGACTCATTGAGATTTCTGTTCGCAGGATAAGATTCAGTTGAAGACGATTAACTTGGAAGACATTGCAGACGTGCGAGAGTCAATTGGGTAAGAACTGACTGCTGCACATGGGCACCAATTCTCTCTATTCCTCTCACTCCATATCTCACCTGAGTCACCTTTAATGTCGTAATTGTCTAGGATACGTATTACGTCGTGTCAGTTACTGCTGCCACATGTAAATGTGCTTACTACAAGGGTCCACATCTAATTCGAGTATAAATAGTACAATTAATAAAAATATAAAATCAATATATTATAAGACAAACTTTGTTTTTATTAACTCCTGATGTCACCAGGGAACGCATTCAATAATGGCATTGATTCATGGAACTGTATATACTGACTGCTCACATTTCTATTTCCATATTTTTTCAGTATTCATCCGACAAAGCAACATCTGTTTGAGATTGTCACACCAGACAGAGTGTTCTACATACAGGTACAATTCATCCTAAATTCAATACAATTCAATTCATTCATTCATTTCAATACATGATTCCCCACATCTTATATATAATAGTGTAATATGTCTTTAAGATATGAAATGTGCATAATGGAGTTTTGCATTTGGTTATTATATAATTCCCTGCAATTCATATTATGATAGGTGAAAATGTACTGTGAGATAAAGTTGTTTTTTTACTGTGTTTTCATTGATAATGTTGTTTCACTTTCAGTGCATCACATGTGTTGACATGCATGTTTGGATAGAAGCCATCTCTAATCAAATTAAGGCCCACAAGCTTGAGAGAAAGGTAAAAACAAGTTGCAACATCAATACCAACTTTATTACTAAATTTAGAGCATATGCGATAGTAAGCTTTATATATCTAGCTATCAGTATGAGCAAAGTCTTACTATTTTTGTATAGTAATTTTGCACTGGATGCGATGAAATAGATCACCTGTCTCTATTCTCATCGCCACCGTTTTATTGTCTGTCACGCAGCCGACGTCATGGGATAGGAAGTTCAACAACACACAGAGCTGCGGCAGCAGCAGCAGTGGCAGTAGCAACACCGAGAGCCCCATCAGCCCCATGTTCCCGTTCCCGCGCGACTCATCGCCGAGCCGCGACAGCCGCACGGCGTACTTCAACTACCAGCAGCTTGCGAACCGATCGTTCCGCATGCCGGGCACGGCGAGTGGCGCACACGCCAACATCTCCCCGCGCGCGCTCCGCAAGTCGCAGTCGATGGGTAGCCGAGGGAGGGCGCCCGCGCGCGACCACGCCGACTACATACGCAGCGTGAAAGAGGGCGCCGCGTTCGAGCGCGACGCGCCGGCGAGGGAGAGCGGCAAGCAGCGGCCGACGGTGACGTTTGCGCTGTCGCCGAGTCGCGACCAGGTGGCGCCGGCGTCGCGTGCGGGCGCGCAGACGCCCGTCGACGTGCTGGTGTCGCCGCGCCTGCTGCGTCGGTTCCCGTACGCGGCAGAGCAGGCCGGCGGCTCGTACTTACACGGGCAGTACACGTCGCGCAGCACTCACAACCTCGCGTCTCCTCCACGGCCGCCCCTGCCGCAGCAGCAGCAGCCTAACCACGTTCCGCATCGCCCGGGCGGGTTCCTGCACAGCAGTCCCAACCATAAAGCTATGATACCGAAGCAGCAGCCAGTGATGGGAACGAACGTACTTCCGACTCGACCCACGCTTGCTGACGTAACAAGTAAGCAGCACATGAACAATCCCAAACCCCAGCAGCAACAGCAACATCATCAACAGCAGCAGCAACACCATCAACAGCAGCAGCAACATCATCAACAGCAGCAGCAACACCATCAACAGCAGCAGCAACAGCAACACCATCAACAGCAGCAGCAACAGCAACACCATCAACAGCAGCAGCAACAGCAGCAGCAACAGCAACACCATCAACAGCAGCAGCAACTGCAGCAACGTCATCATCAACAGCAGCAGCAGCACCACCACCAACAACAACATCAGCAGCCTCAGTACCACCACCAGCAGCAGCAGCAGCAACACGTTAGTCCACCATCGATATTACGACCACCCGGTATTATCAACAGCACCACCGCTTCCAAGATTGCCCACGTGCTCACGACAACAAATGTGCCAGCACCTAACACCAGAGTAGCATCAGTACCCAGTCAACTGCCTCCACCTGCCAAGGGTGTGTGGATATAGAAGCTGCATCCAGATTTTTTAATTTTGCAGTTTGTTACGGCCTAGATTCTTAATTACTTATAGTAATTATAGCAGGAGTACATGAATTAGAGTGATTTATGTACTCATGATAATAGCATGTGACTGTTGGCTGCCATCCAGTTAGATAACAGCGTGTTGTATATCTAGGTTTATTGTATTGACGTTGCCTTAATTTATAGTTTAGACATGTTAGATAGATTCATATAATAGTATTGCTGGTAATATATATGTAGTTGAATCTCTGTGTATAACTATGTTAGGTTGAGCCCTGTGCTGCATGTTTTCGCCTGTAAAGTCAAATAGTGGTGGAAAAAAGTATTATTCATATCGAAAGTGACCACCTAACCAGTAAAGAGATATTTAATTTTACAATTAATGGAATGCATTACAATTAACTCAAATGTTGACGATTTAATGGGTGACTGCATCTGTCAAAATATAACATGTATATATATTTGCTACATATATACATCATCACATTGTACATTTTAGTTTAAAGAAGGTAACGAGTAGGTTATTTTACAATTTTATAAATTCTATGTTGTTTTTGTATCATATATACAGTCTATGCCAATATATGTTTTGATGAAAATAATATTAAGGCACTGAATAACGGTGACGTATTCTTACCAGAAATGTTGAAGAATGTAAGTTTGGCCATCAATATGTACAGATAAAGTGGGGTTATATTTTCCAATATGTAAATTTTGTGAAATTATTTAATATTAAAAATAT